TTATAATGTAATCAAAGCTGAGCAATATTAAAATAATGAAAAGTAAAGAATTTAATTATTCCGATCTATTTGAAAGTCACCATTTATGCGTTTACCCACTACAATTTATATCTTATATTTATATAATTATTTTTATATCAATTGTATATCCACTACAAGTTTCATCCTATTTGCGATAATAAAAAGTAAATAATTTGATTATTTCGATCTATTTGAAAGTCACCATTTATGCGTTTATCTACTAAAATTTAAATCTTATATTTATATAATTATTTTTATATCAAGTGTATATCAACTACAATTTTCATCTTATTTGCGATAATGAAAAGTAAATAATTTAATTATTCCGATCTATTTGAAAGTCACCATTTATGCGTTTATCCACTACAAGTTTCATCCTATTTGCGATAATGAAAAGTAAATAATTTAATTATTCCGATCTATTTGAAAGTCACCATTTATGCGTTTATCCACTACAATTTAAATCTTATATTTATATAATTATTTTTATATCAATTGTATATCCACTACAATTTTCATCTTATTAGCGATCAGAACAATGGGGAGTGTCGCCGTTGAGGCCTCAAGGAAAGCGTTAATGTGTAATGTACAGTGAGTGTGTTTATTAGACGTATGAATCCCCGGGAGTCGCTCCTGTCATATTGTTGCTGTCGTCGTAAGGTAGTGATCCATTATGAATGACGTCTATCGCACCAAAGTGTGAAGGCCATTATTTTGGCGCGATGTCGTTATGACCAGGCAGGGGCGGATTCAGACCGTATTTGCCGTATTGGGAAATACGGTCTAGATTTCAAAGTACCCTTCGAAATTTTGCGCTAAAAAATACAGAAAACAATTTGATGGAATTTGGCTATATTCTTTATTTGTTTTCTTTTTCTTCTGATTCATTGACAGGACTTGAAGAAAATCAAAATTTTACATGGTAACAAAATTACCTTTGATATATAAAAAAGAAGGGAAGCGCTTGAATCATTCTGCATTAATTGCTGGTATATGCAAAGCGCAGGCAAAATGAAGCAGAAATAAAATTCCATATGGTTTTTAGCTATTGCTGCTTGACTAAATGTGCTCAAATGGTGCTAATTTTTATGCCCAGGGACCCTTGAAATTTTGAAATTTCCTGGGGAAAGTCCCCCAGACTCCCCCGCCATCTGCTTCCGCGCCTAACGGCTCCCACTGTGGGGTGGTGTGCCCTTTTTGAGGGATGTGCCCTTAAAATCTGGAAAAATACTGTCTAGCTTCAGCCCTGGATCCGCCCCTGCAAGGTATAGCTAATCGTTACTAAATAGCTAATAGATTAGTACTGATATGTTTATAATTACTAAGTAGCTAATAGATACTAGTGATGTCACGCGTTGACACGTCAGAATCTATATTATCTATATTTATCTAGGTTATCTATATTATTTCTATTCATGCTCCCGTGGTTAATGCAAAGAACTTTTGTTTCTGAGTAAAATATCGAGCACTTATTTTTCGCTATGTGGACTGGATTTCAACCTGGAATCTGCTATTGTAGTTCCTGAGCGGGATGTGTGACAAGTTTTTCTTAAACTCTTATTTTATATACCGACAATATAATGCTGGCACCGGCATAACACTCGTAATGTGTTTAATGATGTCGATATCGTCTACGATTTATTTCTAGCTCTTTGTAATATTGTAATATTTGTTATATTGTTAATTATACTGTAATATATGTTAATATTGTAATATATGATTCATCTCAAGCAATTAATTTTAGAAAATATGCATCGCATACCAAACAGGAAATTCTGATAACATTGTTTAAAGTGTAAAATAGAGTGCATGATCAGTTTAATACTCAACAGTCATTATCGATGTTACAAGGATAAACGAACAGACAGTAGCGGAGGTAGGATGGGAGGTGTTAGAGCGTGATGGTGATGTATGCGCGTGTTGCGAACTAAAGGCTTTTCAATATGTAACGCGTTCTTCTCGTGTATTCAACTCTCTACGGGCGCGTGGGAGTGAGCGCGTGACGTCATGCTGCTAATTAACGCTGCTCATTACAGCAAATTAAATTTGCTCTTCCCAGCGGCACGTAAACAGGTATATTTTTGCCTCGCGAGTTAATTTACTACAATCGAATGATTCCTCTGTTTGAATTGATCGAGTAATGGCTGGTGGTAACGCAAGCGAATGCTACTATATCTAGGACACTGGATTAGTGTTGCACGGGTATATAAGCTGATTGCTTTCACGTGTCCTGCGTCACTGCGCGCCTTTGCGTTTTCCGTCGGTAGTTCTTCTATACACGCGCACGTGCACCCATCAAATTCACGAACGCGTACACGCCCACGAACAAGTCCACTCATACGCGTACAAATGCATACGCGCGCACACACATACATCACATGCACACACCGCGGCGCGCCAACACACTACATCGGCACGCACCCACACACACACGCACCCACACACCCACACACACAGCACACACACACACACACACACACACGAGCCAACAAAACACACACCACCCACGCGCGCAACACCACAGCACGCACCACAACGGCACACACAGCCACCAAATCCAGCCACACACACCAACACACACACACACACACACACACCAACACATGCACACACACACACACCACCACACACACACCAGCCATCCGCACCGAGACGTCTCAACACACACACACAACCCAGGCACACACCGGCACGCGCCACGAGCAACACACACACGCACCCGCACCATACACACCACAACACATCAGCAGCACACACAATTTCACTATACATACCTCCGCGCAACGGAGTCAGGTAGTTAATGTATGCTCTCTGTGTGTGTGTTTCGTGTGTGTTCGGGTGGTGTTCGTTTTGGGTGTTTGTCGTGTGTGTTGATAGCCAGCAGTCGAGCAGCTGTTAACACCATGTATAGCATGTTACACGCGTTCGCGGATCGATCAGCACAGCTCGCTTAGCCGTCCTAATCAGCAGCAGCTCGCCTTAGAACGTCCAGCATCAGCAAGCAAAGCATCGCGAGCCTCGCTGTTAACATTATATCGCATGTTACAGCGCGCCGCGAGGTATGCACTCTCTTAGTCCCGCTGTGTCTAGTTTTCTCATGTGAACGGTTGTATCGTAATGGATACTAGCCTTTATTTGCTCATTTAAATGCCTAGCAATATGCGCAAGGATCGAGTTTCTATTTATGATATCCGCGCATTAGCGCAAACCGATGGCGTGGAAACAAATAATAACAGTATTTTATAGATTCTAACATTTTAAATATTGGGGTTGTAATTGTATCCTATAAAGTCGCTCATCAGCGAAGATTCTCTGAACGATTTCTTTTATAAATTGTTTCGACCGACAAAGTTTAATTCGAGGTTTTTACATCAGGTAGCGGCATCACGAGCCACTCAGTATTCATCCCCGCGTTCATTCATTCGCGTTAATGTCATTCAGGTTTGTTTGTTCATGGACGCCATTTCCGCACGCTTAAGCTAACGAGAGACGCATGTTTCCGTGGCAACCGTCTAATAACGCTGACACACTGCAGCGACAACTGCGTTCGATTGTCATCACCTGTGACAGAATCGTAGCGACTGCATGGCCTAGCCGCGTCGCAGAGAGCGCGACAGGCGGTAAATCAAAGTTTCTCGTGCATTTTTCTACTTATATGAATCATCAATAATATAATTACTATCAATGATGTGGCGTAAACATTAGCTGTAGCTGCTGTGATTAGCCATTAAAAACATTACCTAGATCTGCGATTGACTACTTATAAAACATCAAGCATCTAGGACTGTGTAGCAGTATGTCGCGATTTAGCTCTAGCGTGCAGGGCCGTAGGCTGAGCAAATTCCTATAGGGAGGGGGGGAGCAAAATGTCATGACTCAACTGTGTAATGATGAGCGACGGGCGCAGCTCTTGATCGACGTCCATAGTGTTGGTAATGGTTGGTCTGAGACAAGGCTGTCACGGATAATTGACCAAAAAAATCGCGTTAGGGTTATTTACGATTATTAGCTAAGCTTATTTTTTAATTTTGCTCCAATATCTAGGGAGGCAGCTGCCCCCTTGCCCATGCACCCACAGACTACGACCCTGTCTAGTGCTATAGCCTTCATTGGCTCTACCACAGGCACATGTATGTGACGAGGTCAATAGTACTAGAGTTAATTAAGATCATGTTTCTAGAAATTAGAAGCAATTGTAAATAAATTAGCGATCATGTTGCTAGAAATTATAAGTAATTTATTCGTCTGCGGTTGTCGCTGATTTTATTCCATGAGCGGGCGTAAGAACGTTTGTTGTGTTAAATATCTCTATTGAAATAACGCGTCACTCTATATAATATCACTAACCATCGCCCACCTTTCGTAATAACATCAGGAGTAAGATAATATAGGTAATATAGGTATAATAATATCCTATATTATCTTACTCTTGATAACATACATTTTATCGCGAAAACAAACATATTGTTCGTATAATGCGGATTAATAAAACGTTCGTGTTCTTATAAAAGCTTACGATTTTTATTACAAATGTCGTTGTAGTACATTGAAATCAGTTACAATGCATTCCAGTTTTCTCGAGTGTTGCTAAATTTTGCGATTGGACGTTCCTTTCGCTATATTTTCTTGCGCAAAATGCGGAGCAACCAATTGCAATACGCCGACAACTATACGAGGGAAATAACATAGAAATATACTATGAATAGAATATTAATGTATCACGTCTGTCGTATAACTGAGTCCTTGGAAACAGTAACGATGCTTTCTAGTGTTTTACTAGCGTCGCTGAATCATGCATATGAGCAATGTTTCGCTCCGACAGTTATCATGTATATCAATATATGAATATGAATATATATATATATATATATTGAACCAATGATCAGCGCTAAAATCAGGCGTATTCAGAAACAAATACGCTTAGTCATAAATACACATATAGATAGAGATAGGTATATAATTTTATTTATCTGTTTGTATATTTAACCGATGGGACAGTGAATAAAATGTAACGGCCATGCATAAATGTTACTTGTAATTAGCACATCATTATCACACCGTAACTAAGCAGCTTCGCAATTAATTCCAAATTCAATATAATTAATACACTATCTCTAGGCAAACGACCAAGGCATAATCTCATCCCAATGCATAAGCCGGGATTTCCCGTGAAAGGGTAAGCCGGGATATCTGCCTGCACGATTGAGAATCCGCGATGTTTTTAAAAGCATAAATGTCGGGAAACGCGAGATGTTTTTGCATTCTTCGTCCGATTTCTCTATAATTACGCGATAAGATTGACGGCTCAGTTCAATGCGATCTTTGCAGCACATACACACACACACACACACACACACACACACACACACACACACACACACACACACACACACACACACACAAACACACACACACATCGCGGACACCGAAGGAGCCCGCGTTTTCATGCACCCACACAGATAACCACACACACTGTGTGTGTGTGCATGCGTGTCTGTGTGTGTGTGTGCATGCGTGGGTGCATGCGGGCGTGTCTGTGTGCGTGGGCGTCTAAAGACTGTCCGCGTTAATAAATTACCACCATCGCATGTCGGTGTCAGTTACTCATGCACGATCTTATAGTCTCTCTCGCTACCCGTTCCCACGAGGCTAGCGAAAGTGTTAGTTCGAATCGTCTAAGAAGAACGTCTCGGCGAGAGAGCCCCAGGTGGTAACAAAACGTTGGACGTATACTAAAATACGTTACGAACGGCACAAACGCGCGCAAGTGAGAAAGAACTGAGAGAGTGATTGAGCGGGGAATCGAGAAAGGTTAGCAAATATGTTCCCGTTGCTTCATGCAATGTCGTTTTTTATTATTTATATTACACTCCGTCGGTACTGGGGGAGATTTTCGTGTCGTTTATAACTTATCGAAACTCTCGAACTGGCTTAGTTAGTTTTGTTTCTCACACATCGCGATGCGAAGATTAACATCGCAAATTACGCCATCTTTAAAATCGACATCCTCGCTCGTGTCGCCAGCAAAGAGGGAAGAAACAAAAAACCCAATTCCGACGTGGAGGGGAGAGTGTGAAATTCCGGTCATCGCACGAACATGCGCGCTTGCTTCCGTCCCACGGCACATATCTTGAAATGGCACGGCCCTAAAATATAAAAAAAACGAAAGACGTTGATGCGATTTGCGTGCATGGGCCTGTAACTTCTGTTATTGTGTGTGTATGTCCTAGGTCAAGCTGTGATAGGCTAGCTACTAAAGATATTAAAGGCCACAACCTTAATTCTTTCTGTTATCGAGGAATGAAGGGCTCATGCATAGGTAATGGCTCATCTATTATGATCGGAGTTTTAGTGCGATTAGTCGGTTATTCATACGAGCAAGCTGTTAAACCCTAGAGAGCTTATTAATCGTCAATTATTTGTGTGCGTGTATATTTTCTGAGTGCTATAGACGGCGAATTGCTGTTACTGCGTTATTATTTTTGTAGATCGTTGAACTTGTACTTCTTTCTCTCTCTCACGCGCGCACTCTCCCTTTCTCTCTCTCTTTCTCTCACTCCGATATTCCCTTAGATGTTGACGTACGCATGCAAGCACGCACGCACGCACGCACGCACGCACATACATACACACACACACACACACACACACACACATGCTCGCACGCACGCACGCACGCACGCACGCACGCACGCACACAAGTATACACGTACACGGCTACTACACGCACGCACACAAGCATAATACACGTACGCGCACGCACACATGCACGCACGCACGCACGCACACATGTACGCGCACACGCACACACGCACGCACGCACACACACACACGCACACACTGTGACACACACACAGTTTACTCAGATGTATGATCGTACATAACAGATATAAATGAGATATGTAGATATAGATATATATGAGATATATAGATATATAGATATATATGAGATAATATATATGACGTATACATATCTACCGATGCTCTACCTTGTCTCTATGTCCAGTCTAGAGGGAAAGCAGCACGTGTATAAGAACGTAACATGTAACACGACATTTAAAAAAACGGCGTCAAAGTGCAGTCGGGAGTGACAAATGCGTAGCATATAAACACAATTACTCACTGTAGCCATCTTCTGCCTGTTGTACGAATTCGGGTTGTTGCCTGGGTGGCGGACGGGAGAGATCAACGGATCCGTTTGTGACCTTGAGCAGCTTCTTACGGTACATCTCCCACGTGATGTACTGTCTCATTGTCTTGTAGAGCAATGCGAGCTGCGATAGGAAGCAACAGAGAGTTGGAGCGGCGAGCAAGATGTAGAATCGTGGATCAAAACCGCGCATTCTCTGGTCTAATATATTAATATTACAATATAATAATAATATTAATAATAATAATAA